ACATCGTTGAGGGCTTCTTGGGGACTGGGCGCATAAGGGGGATGGCATTTTGGGAGGGTGGGAAAAAGTGCAATATATGATTAAGAGTTTTATAATTTGTACTTTTCGAAGATTATTATTAAGGAAAATGAGATGGATAAGACACGTGGCAGGGGTGATGGAAAACCTTTACAAAATTTTAATTGTGAAAACAGCCTAAAATTTTGTAAGCATTTCTTATGTCTTCCAAGTTATAAATACTCAGATGTCTACGCTGACGGTTGTAACACCATTCCCCCATTTATCAGTCGGGATCCTTCACTGTAGGGATTTGAATTAACTGTCCTTGAGGCGGTAGTTTAAGATTCTCAACCCTTCCATAACATAAGCAAACAGGGCATTAGGGCAACGTTAAGAACGAGCCGTTTACTGTAAATACGTAAAGCTAACTCTGTATGCAATATCGAAACTATCACACAAACAATCCTTTTGTAACAACGTCGTCAGTTCTTGGAAATTTCGGATACAAAGTTCAGATCAAAGGTTAAGGTAGCAAGAATCATCATTTGTTCAAAACGGGATTGACAGACAAGAGACAGAATGAATCAGACATCAGTCATTGTGCAGATTCTACGTAATTAAGTGGGATTCTATCTCGAGAAGTTGATAGGCACGCCACTGATCAAAGAATTCCTCTAATTTTATGGAAATCAAAACTTAATTTCCCCTTTCCTAAGAACCTGCCCTCTAACCTTAATCTGAGCCAAATGAATACAGTACACACACCAGATGTCCTTTATATCCATTTTAATATCATCCTCCCATATACAGACTGGTTTCTCATCAGACATCTGTCTTTCACTCTCTCCGACCGAAAATTTTTATGCATTGTGAGATTTCATGTTCTCATAACGCGCCTTAGAGTGTGTTAGAAATTAATCGACGTTTCAGAGGTAGTTATTACCCCTGAAACGTCGTTTAATTTCTATCAGACTAGACTGTGCAAAAATCCAAAACACATTCATCTTTGAATACATTCTCATCTCTCCTGTGTTCGGCTATGCTGATTCTGTTTAACTCCATCTGTACCTGAGTTTGGAATGCATAGAATTTCGTCTGTACGC